GCCCCGCTCGGGCTCTGTGCTGACAGCTCGGAGCCTGGAGCCTGCTTCCGAGCCTGCCTTTGTGTCTTCCTCTCTCTCTGCCCCTCCCCCACTCGCGCTCTGTCTCTCTCTCAAAAATAAGCATTTAAAAAAATTATTTAACAAATGGTATCGTCAAAGCCCCTGCCACGGACCATTGGAGCCAATCCTCTGGCGGTGGGTGCTAGCCATTTTTCTAGGCATCACACGGGATTCAGCGGCCCAGGGAGGGTTGAGAACCACTGTTCTAAGGGATAGAACATACACTTGGCTCTGACCTTCAGCGACAAATGCTCAGAACAAGGATGAGTGAGTGGGTCTGCTAGAGTCTGGCCCCCCGGGCCTCACGCCTCCCTCCCTCCTGGTCCGGCCCGAATACCCCTTTACCTTTGGCAAAGCAGGCCATGCTCACTTTAATTTTCCATGGAGGTGTTTGTGGACTGGCTGTGCTCTTTAATCTATACCCCGCTCCCCCAGGGTCTCAGGTTCCAGCAGGACAGGAACGAGGGATGGCTGTCTCCTTGCCTAGAAGCCAGTACAGCCCCTCTACTCATACCTAGGCCAGTAAGAGGAGGTTTGTAAAGACTGGCAGCCAGTGGTCCTCACAGAGATGGAAACATCTAGTGTTAGATCAACTCGACAAAGAAATCCATTAATCTTAGCTGTTTGGAATTGTGTAGACCAAAGAGAAAGAAACAAACCGAAACCAAAATAAAACCTGGCTAGAATCAAACAGGTATTTGCTATATATCCAGGTTTGATTGACTAGATTATTTTTTAATGTTTATTTATTTTGAGAGAGAGAGAGAGAGAGAGAGAGAAAGTGAGTGGAGGAGGGGCAGAGAGAATGAATCCCAGGCAGGCTCCACACGGCCAGCACACAGCTGGACGTGGGGCTCGAACTCACAAACCGTGAGATCATGACGGGAGCCAAAAATCAACAGTCAGACCCTTAACCAACTGGGCCACCCAGGCGCCCCCTGATTGCCTACATTGGAAAAATGTGGTGAACGCTCAGCTTTTTGACGGTTAACTGTTGAAGATACGATCGTTTGTCAACGTATCTCCAGTTTGGTACAAGGTGAAGGCCAGTTTGTCAAAATCTAGGGCGCAGCGTGAATCCAGGGTGGTGCTGAGCCTTCAGGGAGAGGTCAGAAATCAGTCACAGGGTGTGGGGCTATTTAAATAATGGGGCATTCAGCACTGGCAATTAAGATTATAAATCTGGTTAAAAACCAAGAGATTAAAAACTGCTTCTGGCCAGCCGGCACAAAAATAATTAGCTTTTAACTGCATTAAACGATATCCCAAATTGATAAGATTTCTAGAAATGAGAAGACCTCTGAGACAGAACCTCTGGGAGTAAAGTGTAGCTTGTCTGGCCCCTAACGGTCGGCTGGTTCACTCACTCACTCGCTCGCTCACTCGTTCACACTGTGGTTCTCAGGCTCAGGCTCCTTCCCTGCCTGGAGCTGATTCATCCCGTCTATAACTTGCATCTGGGGGTGTGCGGAGGCATTACTGTCTTTCCTTGATGTGTCAAAATATCCCTGGTCTCCCCAGGCTGATTTGTCAGTGGGCAGCAGAAAGTCTATGCAAGCCATTTGTTGCTTGGATTACAGACAAGGCCCCGTCATCAGGGAGGTTCATTAGGCCAGGAGACAAGGCCGCACAGGGGCCGCCGTATAAATTTCATTTATTCTTCTATGGCTTGCTCTGGCTCGGATCTTTCTCTCCAGGGCCGATACTCTCCCCGCTCTGCGTCACCGTCCGTGCCTTCTTTATCGTGGGGACCCTTTCAGCAGGGATTGTGAGAGCAAACTGTCCTTTTTCTCAAAAATATTGATAACCACAGCCACCCTCGTCCAGGGCTTTGAAGCTTAGGGGACCGTGTCACGGCACGTCTCCTTCGATCTGCTCAGTAATCCTCTAGGGCCCTTCCCCCGGGCATCGGAAGCGGTAAGGTGACTTGTGAAAGGTCATGGGGCCGGCAAGTGACAAAACAGGAACTCGAAGCCAGGTCTTTCACTGCCATAGGTGGCCGCGGTGGGGGGAATCGTGTCATTCCGCCACAGGAGACCCCTTTTCACACACAGGACCCTCGCCCTTGGCCTGTCCTAGGTCTGGGGCCAGCTCACGTGGTTAGGACCCAGCACTAATGAGGCCGGGGCCCAGGCTTGGTTCCCAAGGGCTTCGTTTTGTCCTCTAGCCCCTGCCGGCCCCACCTGGTTGTCCTACCCTTAGTCGATTACCCAAGGAGACCAATCCCAGTGCTGGAATCGTCACCTGAAGCAACCGTGCTGCTGATAGACGGTCAATAGCATTGTCCTTCTAGAAGGATGGTGACGATAGCCGTTGATGACACCGAATACTCCCTTTAGACTGGACAATCGGAGCCACCCGCCTTGGGCGCCATGCTTTAGAGGGCTCCCCTCTGTCCCTTGGACTTTATTCTTTCACATGGGGTGAAAAGTCTCTAGGGCCAAAGAGACAGGCCCGCCCAGAGCCCACGGCCCTCTTTTAGACCACACTCGGGCTGCCCAGGACCCCGAATTCCCGGCCTAAATGTATTCTGGATCCTCTCAGGCCCCTTCACCAGGTCTGTGCCCCGGAGAGTGCAGTGAGCTCCTGGGTCCTGCTAAGCCTGATGAGGAGGGCAGGAGGTCCAGTACTGGGAACCTGATGGCACAAGGTTCCCAGGGAGGGACGGAGCCAGGGATGGGGGGGACGGTGGGCTGGTCGTGAGCCTGGAACCTCTTTCAGTGCTCATCCGCCGGCTCCCACAAACATTCCCATGGGTCTGGCAAAGGGTGAGAAGCCTGGCAGCTTTCTCCCAGAACGGAAGACATTGTGCAGAAAGGGAAACAAATAGGCCCCGCCTTCCAGGAATGTGACTGTGGAACGAGGGGGGGGGGTGCATTTCTAGGCCAGAGGGAAGGTGCAAAGAGGGCAAGGGCTCTGATAAGGCTGACCGCCATAGGCAGGAGTCACGGTTATCCGATGCGAATCTGCAGCCCACCCCTGGGAGTTATCCTGTTTATGAATAGCCACCCCCGGTTGACTGCTTAATAATTCAGATGTCATCTAATTAATCCTCTACAATTCTAAGGCAAATAATAGAATCCCAATTTACAGATAAGAAAGTAAAGCTCAGAGAGGTTGTGTAAGGTGCCCAAGGTCACACAGCCTATAAGTGGTGGTGGTAACCCTCACGCTCAGGCAATCTGATTCTCAAGCCGACAGTGGACCTCCCGGCACACTGGCCCAACGGAGTGGAAAGGCAAGTCAGCAGCTATGAAAATAGAGCTCTTTACGGCAAGGCAGACCTGTGCGTTTAAGGATTGTTAACGCTGTTGTAGTCCCTGACCACAGGCTCCTTGAATCATTCGATAAACATTTACTGTCTGTGTCTACATGCCAGACACTCTGCTAGGTTCTGAGACGTGTAGATGAGTGAGTCACAGTCCTATCTTCAAGGGAAGGAGAGTTCTTAAACTTAAGCAATGCACCAGAATCACCGGGAGGGCAATTGCTAAGTTGAAGATTGCTGGGCCCGCCCCCACAGCAGGTCTGGGTGAGGCTTGAGATGTGCATTTCTTTCTTTCTTTTTTTCAGTGGTTATTTGTTTTTGAGAGAGAGAGAGCGAGCAAGTTTGGGAGGTGCAGAGACAGGGGGACAGAGGATCCAAAGTGGGCTCTGTGCTGACAGCAGAGAGCCCAATGCGGGGCTCGAACTCACGCACCGCGAGATCATGAGCCGAAGTCGGATGCTTAACCGACTGAGCCACCCAGGCGCCCCAGGGGATGTACATTTCTAACAAGGTCCCGGGAGCCGCCGAGGCTGCTGGCCTGGAGACCCCACTTTGAGAAACGCTTTGGTAGAAGGTGCCAATCAAGA